GGGTGGATTGAACCAGAGTGAGGTGGTATTTAGTGGTTTCTGCCCTGGCTTCTATTCACCTTAACATAGTTTGACTTTAGTATTTTTGACTAATGAAAGTGTATCTTCTAGGTTATGGTAATCTTAAGCAACTGTGGCTTGAATATGAAACTAGAGAGAAGTTTAATTATTGGCAGATCAGTGACAGTGACAAATTGCTTTTCTTCCTTTCTAGTTATACATGGGAAGCTGTTGATACCAGAAATAACATGCTTTATAAAATCAACATCTGTGGAAATGTGAATATTGCCCAGTGTGGAACGTCAAGTGCTGTTTGTATGCATGACTTGAAGACAGACAACTTTCATTCCGTGGGTAAGTAAAACTACCCTTAAATTACTGGATGTGCAGGATCCCAATTTTGCAAAAATGACTCTGTATATACAGCTGCCTATACAATTATATATGCTTATGATACATAATATACATTTTATGCTTTATAGGAGTTAAAAGTGGTAACAATTTAAACGTCCAATTTGAGACCAGATTAGGTTACTCCCATGTAGCGGATACTATGCAATCATTATGAAGAATTATGCACGTTTGTGTTTATTGATATAGAAGGATGATTTCTACATGGATCTGCCTTCTCATGTTTTTCTTAAACCCTGTCTTTACTTTTCTCCCTCTTTCACCTCATTTCCTCTAGTACCTAGATCCCTTCCCCCTTATATCTTTCTGCCTTCTTCTGTGGTGGTTTGAGTCTCAGGCAGTCTGTATTCACATGGGGTCAAAGACGGTCACTGGTTTTGGGCTTACACTAAAAATTAAATAGTCCTAAGGACCGCCCATCCCAGAGGAAAAAGCACAAACCTTTCTTTCCTAGGTAGGGCTCATTTCATTTCCCCAAAAGCCCTCTTTTTTTTTTGTCAGTATCCCTTTCCTTTGGCAGGGTAATCCAAGTGGTTGACAGCCCTACCAAGTTACATGGAGTGGGAAAGGGGCAGATGCCTAAAGAGACGTAGGGCAGACATAAAAGCAGCCAGTGCCATCCTTGGATGTGACGTCATGGATGTCGGTGGGTGGTGCCCTTTTGACCAAGGCATTTTCAATGGTGAGGTCTGATGGTGAGGGTCAGTCATGAAGTGGAGACAGCGTGTGACCGGGGACAGTGTAGCAGTGAGAAGAGAGGGAACTCAGTAGGTTTTTGGAGTTGGGAGGGGCAGCTTACTTTGGTAGCTCCATCTCTCATCTTGAATGGAAATTCCTAAGCACAGTTAAAAAAGGGCTTTTTAGAAAGTAATGGTTTAGAGTAAGAAGAGTGAGGTCTGGGAGGTCTCCTGGTCAGGTCCAGAGTGTGTTTGATTTCCCTCTCTTCCAACATGGAGACGGTTTAGATTGAAAACACTGGTAAGAGGGATTTGAGGCCCTGGGTAGAGATCTGAGAAAGCACGAGGTTGTTCTGAACTCTTGGACCAAATTTTATTACTTTGTGATATACTTAAAAAAACTTGGAAATGAGATCACCAGTTTCCTGGTTGGGATCTTTTGACCATTCAGAGAGAGAGGCCACAAGTGGGCCTGTTGGCCAGTGTTACTTAGGTCTTCAGAAAGAGGAAAAGTAGTTTTCCTCTGACTTTATTAGAATACTTGGCTATAGTATTTTTGGCTAATGAAAATGTGTCTTCTAGTTTGTGGGAGTGCAGTGTAGTGTAATGTAACATATAGCGTAATGTAACATAGATGTATACCAGATGCACACAAGTCACTAGGAGGGTGATTTGTGAGGTTGGCACAAAATTTGAGAATGACCAAGTCAGCTTTGAAAGCCAGGCAGGAGAGTTGATATTTTCTGGGGTAGGTAGTGGATCTGTTATAGGTTCTTTGTGATGATAATGGGGGAGGTAATTTGATAGAATGTGTTTTTAGAAAGTTGGGCCTGATGGACTAGGAAAGGTTGGTTAAAAGGGAGAGTTAAAAAGATGAATTGTTACTAGTTGATGATGATATAAACCAGCTGTTTCTAATCTCATTTTACCCCCAGACACACATGACATACTTTTCCTAGGGCCTCAAACTCCCTGAGGGAGAGAATGGTATGCTAGATGATGTGTACTTTCAGCACTAGTGGTTATTACCCTGTCCTTCAACTCAGGAAAGTACACTACTATGAGCGAATGAGAGAGACATTAACATTATCACAGATAATCTTGAATCTGATCTAATTTTGCTAATTTGTGTTGTACGGTAGAAATAACTAAATTTGTTATTGTAAATTTAGTTTTATAACTAAATAATAACTAAATTTGGTGTGCACTTACATGCCAGGTGTTACGTTTTTAAGTAGACTGTCTCATTTAATTCATTCAACAACTTTTGCAGTAGATGATCTCATTTCCCTCATTTTATAAATGAAGAAACTGAAGCATTAAATGGATAAGCAGCTTGCCAGAGGTTGCATGGTTATGGATTTGAATGCTGGCAGGCCAGCTGCAGAGCCTGTCGATTTATTCAGGGTTCTTGTTCTGCTAGTCACAGGGTCACATCAGACAGTTGTAGAGCTAATATGGGAATTACGGTGGGTAACCTGAACTCCTGGCTCTTAGAGGACAGCTGGAAATTAACATGAACTTCCTAGAAAGGAAAAAAAAAATGTGAATTTTGAAAATAGCCACAAAAACTGGAGCAGATCAGAGGAACAGAAGAGTTAGTTTAACAATAGATCCAAATACATATGAGAACTTAACGTATAACCTAAAATTTATATGTAATTAAGCTGTTTATCGGTTAGGAAACAACGTTAGACCTCTCCTTCATATTGTGTAACAGAAATTATGGATTAGTTAAAATTAAAAGTAAAAAGACAGTAGAACATTTGGAAAAACCTAGTAACATAGAAACTTAATCTGGAGGAGGTAGGAATTTCTCTTAATAAATGGTAAGAAAAACAACCCAGTAGAAAAATGGCAAAGTCTAAGGACAGGCAATTCACAAAAGAAGAAATCCAGATGGCCAATTCAGCTTCATTAGTAAGCCAGGCATAAATGCAAATCAAAGCAATAATGAAATCTAGTTTTCCTTCAGTCACATTGGCAGAAGTTTAAATGGTTGAATCATGGACTACTGGCCAGGAGCCTAGAAGCGGGCACATTTATACATTGCTATAGGAAGATGGTTGTCTGTAACCCTTCTGGGAAGATTGTTGTTGATGTGAGTTTTATAGTGCCCGCAAGGGCAGTTTTTGTACTTAGAAACAAATATCAAGACCTCAACTTTGGTTTAAATAATATTACATTATTTTTGATAAAAAATCCTGTGTTAGTTCTTCCTTAGGCCAAGGATATTATATTGTTACATGTATAAATCTAACAAGAGTTTAGCAGTCATTTATATGGGGTCTGTGAACAACCATTTGGTTCCATTTACAGCCGAGTTGAATCATCTTCACATTTTAAAGTGATTTATACATTTTATATATTTGATTTCTCTTTAAAGTACTTCAGATGTCTGACCTGACAGTAAAAGCTTAAGGACTAATAATAATTCTTAAAAATTTAATAGTTTAAATGTAGAAATACGATAAACCTGAAGTCCTCTTAGTTGTTCAAATACTGTCACAATTCTAAATCAATTGCTTAGTTATAACCTTTGAATTAGTTATAAAATTAGACATTGCAAGTATGTAAAAATACTGAATATGTTCACATTCCTCCTAAAATCCTAAATATTAATACCATGGTTTTCATTTAATTAATCTTTCTGGGGGTTAAAAACTAGGTGTCCACTTCATGAAGGCTGTTACCAGCCCATTTAACCGAGATAGCAGACCCACTAAGGAAGGATGTTACGTGAGGTTACTCACCACCAAAGCCTGGGATGCTGACTGGCTTTTTTTATAGGTGACCTGGGTGTAGGATAGAGTGAATTCAATTGTAGTTGCTGGTCATGTGACTTCATTTACTCTTAAGGAGCCTGACCCTTGACTTCAGGTGATACTTACTGTCTGATTCTTGTGTGCACTCACAGAAATCTACAACAGCTATCCAGGTTGATCACTAGATTGAATTTTGTGTCTCAATTAACATGTGAAAATACCTTTTCCTCTTGTATCTTTCATTTTCTAAAATTATATAATTCTATTGGATATTTAAGATGATATCTGGTTGATTTTTAGGTATAACTCATGTTTTCATCTCATTTATAGTCTCTCCTGGTTGTCTGGCATTGTCCATCAAATTTAAAAACTTAGATTCCTGTAATGTACTTTTGTAATCTTACCAACAATGGAGGAATTAAAACTGTACATAGATTTTTGTACAAAAAAATTACTTGGAGCATTGGTAATTGTGGCAAATATGCTGAAACAGCCTAACTATGGGGATAGTTCAATAAATTTTAGTATATTTTATTGATTTACTTGGTTAAATCACACCATGACAGATATATATATATATAAATATTTTTAAAACAGCCAACACTTAATATTCATTTATTTATTTGTAACAAATATTTGGATCAGTCACCAAAACATACAAAAATCCCTTTTCTCATGGAGCTTACATTCTAGTGGAGTGGGAGACGGACAAGACCAAACAATGGCTCAGTGGTATATCAGACTGTGCTGAATGCTGTAGAAAAGAAAAGGAAGCAGTGTCAGGAGTGCTGGGGGTCTCAGGAGTGTGTGTGTTCAGGAATATTCAGTGGGGTAAGTGTCGCTGAGAAAGTGACATTTGAGCAAAGACTTGAAGCCGAAAAGCCGTGGGTCACGTGGCTCTGGGGGAACAGCCAGTGCAGGGGACAAGGGGAGGGCAGTGTCTGGTAGAAGCGAGAGTAGGCATCTCAGAGTGTTCATATAAAGAGGAGCGGAAAAGTGAGGCAGTAGCTGTAGGGGAAGGTTGGACAGAGGGGACTCTTAATTTGGTGAAATAACACGTGAACAGCACACGTCGAGACACGGCACAGTAGAGAAGGGAGGAGAGTGGACGGCGAGGGAGGCCCTCCTTGCCGGAGCACGTCGGAGACTAGCACGGAGGGGGCTGGCGGCCTGGCTGGCAGGCTCTGAGCGAGGTGCTGAGGAGGCCCGGCGGCCGCGAGCCGGGCCCCGAGGCAGCAGGTGGAGGCGCGATTGCCAGGCCCGGCAGCCTCAGCGAGGCCGGGTTGCGAGCTCGGCTGGGCTCGGCCGCGGACGGCGAGGGTGGCAGGCGAGGCCTGGCAGGCCCGGAGCGCGGCCTGGTCGGGTGGGCTCTGGTGAGCGTGGCCTGGCGCGCAGGGTCTGCAGGACCCGGCGCGGCCTGGCTGGCAGCGCGTGGCCGGGGCTGGCGGGCGCGGGCGAGCGCGGCCGGGCGGGCCTGGCGCGCAGGGTCGGGAGGACCCGGCGCGGCCTGGGCTGCGGAGCGTGGCCGGGTCTGGCGGGTGCGGGCGAGCGTGGCCTGGAGGGCGCCCTGGCGCGCAGGGTCGGGAGGACCTCCCGGGGCCTGGCCGGTAGCGCGTGGCCGGGTCTGGCGGGTCCGGGTGAGCGCGGCCTGGTCTGGCGGGCCCGGGCGAGCGCGGCCTGGAGGGCCCGGCCTGGAGAGCGCTGTCTGGAGGGCCCAGCGCGTGGTCTGGCGGACCCGGCGCGGTCTGGTGGCCCCGGCCTGGAGACCGCGGTCGGGCGGACCCGCCACGGCCTGGCGGGCTCGGCGAGGGCGGGTTG